CCCCAAAACCCCAAAACCCCAAAACCCCGAGATCTCATATAAATTGAATATTTATCTTTTGAAGGAAATATAAATAGAATTCATTTTTTGGAGCAAAGCTTAATCAAATCTTGACCCATAGTTATGATTATTACTCCAATTATAGCACAACTCATTCCAGCAATCTACAAAAAGTTTGGCACCATGCCCTGAATTAATAATGAGAGAGAAGTGTGTATAAAACCTTATATATGAGAAAGAGCAACCTTTGGTCCACCTATTCCCTTGCTAACTCCATTATATAGCAAGATATTTCCAATAATGCATAATGTACTTCCTGCAAAACCATATACCAATTCAAAAGGCTTGTAGCCCACTGTCACTTAATAATTGATAAAAAATGGCAATAGAATCAAACTCTGTAAGAAAATTGCATCGATACAAAGGTTAATAGCCTAGTAATTGTGTCTTTCATGATAGATCTTGGATATAAAAGCTTTTGAGGTGAATAGCAAAGCCACAAATACTCCTAAAAGCACTACAATCATAATATGCTCTGATCCAATTTGTTTAACACCATCATTATCATATTTTTAAGAGGGCTTTGACATTGAAATCAAGATAACAAATAATAAAATAAAGCAAATTCCCAAAATTTGCACTGGAGTAATTTTCTACTTAAATGCAAAGTAGAATATTATGCTAGTAGTAACTGTACTTAGAGCAAAAAGTGACGATACGATGCCTTGATTAAGCTAAATTTCTAGGGCGTACCTAAATGTATATAGCTTTAGTGTCAATGTAGTTTGAATGACTAATGCAAGAAAAACACATCCTCTAATGTTAGCACAATTTAATGTAAATTGATTTTCATGGATTTAATGGCATTTAAAAAAGTTTGATTTTTCTATAGCCCATAATCTGCCATCTCTTCTATGCTAAGCAAAAATTGAGTAAGATTAGTAGATGACTGCTATTGAAATTCCACCTAAGCAAAATAGATAAGTTCCCTGAATATAGAGGTAACTGATAACTCCAAATAGAAAGTTGTATACACCAAATAAGACTCCAGCCAATACGCACGTCCAAAATAAGTAAGCTGGCGGTGCTTTTTAATCAGATTTCTCAAAGGCTATTTCTGTATGTGGAAAAATTAACGGTTCACTCAAATTTGTAGCAGATTTCATTTATAATTTAATAATGGCGTAATGAATTTATATTTATTTTGAGTAATATTTAACTAATAATTATGTACTCAAACGGGGTTTTGGGGTTTTGGGGTTTTGGGG